CCGTCCGGGCCCGACGGGGGAGCCGCGGAAATCGGCCCAGGTCAGGGGACCTCCCACCCTCATGCGAGCTCACCTGGCCCCCTTTCTCCAACAGGACTCAGTCTAGTCAAGCTACCAGTGGAGACAATTCTTAAAAATCCACGGGTCTCCCTCACCACCAAAACCCCTCCTGAGACCTTCTACCTTTCTCATGCTCCTGTAAGGTCCCTTATGTCTCTTTCTCAGTGTTTCTGCCAGTCCTCTCTCTCCTCTGAGCTTAAGTGGATGACTCTGCCTCTGATCCCAGGCCCACCCGCCCCGCCTGCTGCACAGCTCCATCAGTCCCACCAGGCCTGCCCTCCCTGTCCAGTCTTCCTCTCCAGACCTCCTGATTCATCAGATGTGATACCTAATGCCACCTGCTCATCCTCAACAATTCAGGTGCAAAAAGGACGCGGCACAGCGTGGCTGTGAACAGCACGGGCCCCACGGCTGGACCGCCCGGCACTGACTCCTGGCTCCACCATGTCCCACCTCTGGGGCCCCAGCCCCCGCTGCTGGGAGACGGGAGACCACCACCTAGATCCGAGCTGGCGGGAGGTCAGATGAAATATTAGATGCAAAGCATGTATGATGCTGCTGGTTATGTATCTTATTGCATTAATTATAATTGATGGGTCAGTACTTATTATTACATTATACTCTATACTTTTATTCATTTATTATGCATATGCTGCTATGCAGGGCCTCGTGGGCCTCGCGCTGCACTCCGCAGGGCACTGATCTCAGATGCCAACAGGGGCTATAAACGGTCTTTGTAAGTCAGCCCATCCATTCTTGTGCTAGAACAAACTTAAGAGGTATTTTAGAAATTCTGCCTTTAACCCTCGGCTCTACTGATAGGTCTCTGTCCAGCAGAATCTTCCCTTTCTCCTTGCTGCTCTCTGTGCCCATGGCGAACCTGGCTCCTGCTCTCCTGTGACCTCCTCCAAGGCTGGTGGGCATCTTCCCCAACAAGCAAACGCTATGTCCAGTCTCAGTCCTCACAATCCCTGATCGCCCTGAATCTGATGCTTCTTGCTTCCTTTCCATCCTGAAGCATCCCCTTGCCTGGACAGCTGACCCTGTCCCGGTCCCCTCCTGCCTCTCTGACCTAGTCCTCCTCCTCCTTTTCCACTCCCCTTCCCACCTCCTAAATGAGAGCTTCCTTTCCACTGCCTCAGGTCCACTGCCTCTCCCACCTCCAGGCGTGGCCCTCAAGCATCCCCAAAGCTGCTAACCCTCCACCCCAACTTGTTACTTTTCTGCCTATCATGGGCCCACAGCCACACTCCCCTGTGACAACAGCCAAGGAATCAGAAGCTTTTATCTCAGTTATGGGCAATAATTCATTCAGCCAAAATGAATAACCACATTCTATCCCAAGAGACAGTGTTATCATCCTCCATTCTGCAGATGAGGGAACTGAAGGATTCAGTAACTTGCTCAAGGTCACTCAGGAATGGCCGAGTCAGGATCCACACCCACGTCTGCTTGGCCCTTAATCACCCACGAGTCCTGTACCAGGGTAAACTCATGTATGTGAATAACTAAACCCAGCACGTCCATCCCTGCCACGAACACCTCCTGAGCCTGGAGCCTGGCACTGGAGGTGCAGAGGTGGAGAAGGCCACTCCCGCCATCACAGGCCCCCAGATTGGCTCTTTCCACGACCAGAGTTTCAAATCTGGACCCACCCTGGAGTCAGTAAGTCAAATCCACGTTCACCTGGTACATGCACACACACAGTCTTTGGCTCTTCCTGGCATCTGTCCCCAACACGGGCAACTTCTATGAATTCAGCTCACGCCTTTCCTCCCCATGCCCACCCACCACCATCCTAAGCCAGGAATTTGGTTCTTCCTGCTTGAATTTCTGCCTCCTTCCTATCTCTCTCTCAAAACAGCCAACAGGTGAATATTCCTAACGTCCCGACCTTACAGAGTTCCTCCTGCGGAGAAACCCCCAAGGACTCTAACACTCCACTACAAATGAAATGCTGAAAGGTGATGTGCCCCAGCTTGAGCTCCTCCTGGTTGACCAGCAGAACTGGACAACTCACTGGTCCTCAAAGACACCTGATACTCGCTGACCTCGCAACCCCCCTGCCTGGGTCACTGGGCGTGGGCACCTGGGTGCCCTCAGTCCTGCCGGTCGGCCTCCTCCCCAGGCCTCCAGGCCCTGCCCAGTACCACCCAGACCTGAATACCACCCCTCTTCTCTCTGCCCCCTCGACTCTGCCAATAAAAAGTTTCTGCCTGTCTTATCAGACTGCACAGTCAGTGTAAATTAAAACACTCCTGAATGTATCTTTTCCACAAGCAGACCGCAGACATCTTGACGTCAGGCACCGGATAGAGTTTACATCTAGATCAACTCCCAACACCAAGCACAGGGCCGGACACATAAGAAGACTCAGTAAATATCTGCAAGTAGAAATTCAGGAGCTTGTTGCTGTTGTCGCTGTTGTTTAAAAAAAAAAGGAGGTGGGAGACGACTACAGAAGATCTAGACGTTCAAAACTGTGGAAGAAGTCAAGGAAGGCAGGGACTCCCTCAGTACAAGAGGGATCTTCTTTTCTCTGCCACACACTCTGTTGCAAATATCTTATTACAACGACAAGGAATGAGGGTCATCAGGGGACTGCCCAGTATGTTATTACTATTACTTTCATTTTCTTAGGTTTACAAAAAAAGGAAACATTTGTTTTTATCAAGAGACATTATTTCTTTCAATATAATCATCCGCAAAAACACAGCCATGAGCTAGATTATTTCATTTGTAACAGTTTACCAGTCAGATTTTTTAAAAATTAGACTTGTATAAGCTTTAAACACATCCCAGAGTCACCTAGTAGCGGGGAAACTGACATTCCCAATCAGTGGGGGAAGGCGGAGAGGCCCACAGAATTTCAGCTGAAACGTGTGAAAATGCTTCGTAGTCAAATGCTAGACCACGTAAAATGCAATCGCCAATCATGTGCCAATGTCTAAATACGAAACTCAATGAAGAAGGGAAAAGGAGTTACACTTTCCATTGAAAAAGTCATGTTCTCGTTCAGATAGCTTCTATGACCAAAAGTGTCCCCAGATGCCTCATGCCTACTGGTATTAGTACAGACAGCAATACACCTGCTGCTACAGTCCGAGTAATACTCTGGGCAAAACTGGTCACACAAAAGCCCTGCACAGTTCATTGTTTTTAAAGACATGCCTCCCTCTTA